ACAGTAGTAATAGCGAGGATAGGCACGGTGTAGATACACAGAGGTAGAGTCATGGCAATCGTTTTTTTTCACAAGGTGAGAGAATCTTCTCGGTTCTTTCGGTAAAGTCACGTAGAAGGGAAATAAGAAAATAAGAAAAATAAAACATAATAAAATAAATATTTCATTATTTCCCTTCTACGTGGTGACTTTACCGAAAAAACCAAGATGATGAATCCCTGCAGTCACGAAAGCTTTAAATCGAAATTTAAGGTGAGAGATATTAACACCGAGATTTTTTTTTCCATTGTAAAATTAGCAATCGCATCTTCAAATGGTGTTTTTCGCACAAACGTATTCTCATTAGAGAGCAGTGCAAGGCTTAGTAACATAGGGCAACAGCAGTAGCAACTGCAGACAGTTATTACTGAAGGCCTACGAAACAGAAGTGCCGACGGGGCCCTACGAGAACCTTAAGAGGGCGGCAAGTTACTAGTAAGTCTCCGAATTGTCTCGAACCTCACAAAACATCATCTCAGCACTCTCATGCATTTGTACTTATCCCTGTACCGCACTTTTTAATTCCCGCCCCCCCCCCCCCCCCCCCCCCGCAAATAGAGCAAGAGTTAAAAGCCACACCAGACCCTCGAGAACACTGCAACTAAGAGGATGTATGAAGTTGTTGGTTTCATGAACCTAGTCATATTCGGGGTAACCGTCTGTGTTGTTGTTATCTGCCTCTGCACTGAGACTTTAGTACTCACCGCTTGCTTGCTTCAGGACGTCCACGAATGTTGCTCCCGATAAGACATGAATCTACACATCTAAACCAGTGGTTCTTAACCTTGACTGCATCCTCGCACACCATTGGTTCTCAATCTTTAAAATTTTTATAATGCGAAATAAAGACATTGGTTTGATGAAATATAGTCGTTGTAATTCTGTGCCTGTGCTTAATTTGTTTTTCGATGATTTACCTTCTAAAAATAACGTCTCGCATCCCCAGAAAAGGGCATCTGGCACCGCCCGAGGGATGCGTGCACCCCAGGGTCAAGAGCCACTGCTCTACATCAACTCAAACCTCCTGCAAATCACGTGACTGCTTTGTAGCCACTCCCACTTTGAATCCCCTCTCCACGGGGCCCACTGTGAAAACAAACGCTGCTCATCCATGCAGCAGCGTCCGATGCCCTGATGGAGCCTCTTCCTCTCGATCCTCTTCCCTCCTGACCCTATGTTCCCATTTCCATTGTTCCTTTTCCATCCTTTCCACATTATTTCCCATTCTTAATCTTCTCTTTTGCATTTACCGTTCATTGTTCGTGCATCATATCCTTTCCGTGGTGAGCCATGGCTAAAACGTTGCCAAGAAAAACTCACAATTTTCACACTGGCTGGTCCCTAATGATTCTAATCGTTTTGTTTGTTGTATATGTATTTCCTGTGCACATCAATGCATTGCAACATGCTGTCGTTCAAATAATTCACCCCTAGATTTTACAGAAATGTGAAGTGCAACATAATTTACATGGCTATCATTATTGGTGATCTTTATGAGCCAAACTGCTGCCAGGCATTACGTAGCACGTGTATGATGATGATCATCATTATTATGCTAAGTCATGTTTGATATATTGACGATCAGCATCATGCTGTTATGTATCGTATTCTCTGGTATATAATAAACTCCGAAAAATGAGTCTCACCCAAAAACGTGTGCACCGCGTCAATAAAGCTAAACAAATTGGTCACACACAAACACAGTTAACAAATTATATAATGCAGTCCCAACTTTTGTGTTTAAAATAAATGAGGAAAAAAAGTGCATCATAACTCGGGGAAAACAGTAATATTCATATTTGTTGCGTACCTTAGTCTTTGCTACCCTTATGTGTGCGCGTGCGAGTATGCCTGAAACAAGGCCACATCATGGGTCACAATGGAAATATCAGCTTCTACATAAATGCTTCGGGTTTAGGATGGGGAGGGGGGGAGGGCTGTGAGATCAATTTCAGACTAATTTTATTCTTACGGTCGGTCGGAGTAGCCGCTTAAACAAATATTTTCCAACCTGCGCTCTGGGTTGACAACCACGCTTCATGTGCTCCCTCACCCATGGCCTCACTGCCCGGAGCAGTCGGGGACCTGAATCTTTTCTTTTCCAGGGCAATCCATTCCATCATCATCAGCAGCAGCAGCAGCAGCGGCATGGCTGGGTTTTAAACAGTGCAATCAACATTCCTAATAACAAACATCACTTAATTTGTAATATTCCAGCTCTGGGAATTAAAGGCTATATTTAAAAAAAATGTTTTAGTAATTGCTGCCACTGTGTGTGTCACGATGTCTACACCAGAACCTGGGTTCCAGACGGACGTCGTCGGCTCGATCTCCTGGACCGGCAATCGCAACATCGGGCAAGCGTCTTAAATTCCCCACCTCTGTCCACCCAGCCTGGGCTGGAGAGCTGTGAAAAACAACTTCGTGGACATTCCAACTCGCATCGAATGTCCAGCCGTTCGAATGATCACGTCGCCGTCGAGTCGATCGGCAGGTCGCGTGCGGTGGAGTAAAGTGTGGGTAATCCCGCCTCGTTCAACACGTCTGAGCAGTGTGGAAGAGTAGGCCAAATGGCCTCTAGAAGGGATCTCGAGAGCTCCCTTTTGTGGAGGCTCTTCTTGCAGCATTGGCGTGCTGCAAGACATTTCAGGGGTGTGCACCTTTACCTTAGCTTACTTGAAAATAAATTGTCGAAGAAATATTGTTTGTATGTTGAACTTCTTTCGCACCGTACGTAGCCAATTGTGCCAATCGGAGGCGCAGGTTGAATAAATCTTGATCTTCGAGATGTGTTTATTTCGTAAAATATATTTCGTGTAAATGGTGTTCACAAGAATTGCCCACCGATATAATGGACAAACCACATCGCATTGTCTGTTGATGAGGGGAACGTGGTCACATTCTCCAAAACGTGGATTGCTCTGAAATCTTGAGATGGTTATCAAAGCTTGGAATGCGTGCACTATTGATGTCTACGTGTGCACTTTTGCTTTAGATGTAAATAAAACAAACAAAAAAAATACATGAATTTGGGAGCAAAACAAATTCCACACCATCGATGTCATCTTTTAAAATCTAAGTTCCCACACTTCGCTTGACCTTAAACACCGACGCTGTACTCTGCTCCAAACATACTCGAGGGGAATATGCCACAGACAGCTTCAAAAAACGCAAAAAAACAACTCGGCTGTGTAAGGAGCATATAGGTGTTTAATTCCATCGCCGAGAAAATGTCAAAGGCGGCTCGTCATTAGCGGCGCACAACACCGCGTGAGTGATTGTCCTTTAAAAAAAACCTGCGCACGCGTAGTCAAAACATTTTTGAGAACAGGGTGCTCACTCAGTGGTCGCAACAACTTCTTTGAAGAAGAAGAATTTAAAAAAAAGTGGGCTGCACATGTAGACGGATATCTCGTATTCAACGAAGGCTGTGTCTTGACATTAACGACCTTAAATTTCGATTTGAAGCTTTCGTGACTGCAAGGATTCATCTTCTTTGGTTCTTTCGGTAAAGTCCCGTAGAATGAGAATAAAATAATAAAATAACACAATAAAATTCTCACGACGTTTCGGCCACAACGCAAGCGACGTTTCGGCGTTTGTGGCTGAAACGTCGTGAGAATTTTATTGTGTTATTTTATGATTTTACTCTCATTCTACGTGACTTTACCGAAAGAACCAAAGAAGATTAACGACCTTCAAAAATCTTCCTTGTCACGTAGAATGAGAATAATAAAATAATTATTATTTTATTCTCATTCTACGTGACTTTACCGAAAGAACCAAAGAAGATGAATCCTTGCAGTCACGAAAGCTTTAAATCGAGACCTTCAAAAAGTCGATGGTCTAGAGGATCAAGCATTGCTTGCAATTCCCCTTCACACCCAACAACAATATTGAATTTGCACACGTTTCAGGACACGATGGGCAACCCCCGTTATCAAATCCTTTTGACCGCCCGCCCTTGTAAAATACGGCTGATATACAAAGATAAATAAGCTCAATGGTAGTCCCGAGCACAGCCTTTCAGCTGCCGATTCCATGTTCGGCCTTGGCTGTTTACATCGTCACCCCCGTTCGAGTAGCTCTCCCCAGCCTTTCAGGCATCTCCACTTGTTGCCCGCTGGTCCCGTGCATTCGTTAAGGCCGCCACTCGCTCCGTGTTTTGCCTCCAGCGTGCGTCATTTCGGCGGCCCGTGACGTCGGTGTCAAGGCCGTAGGTTCGGTGGCCCAAACAAAATATAATCCGCTGAGAGTGAACACCGAGGGAGGCGCTGTCAAAGTGGGCTACGCGCGGCCACGTGGCCACGTCCAGAGGGAATTCGAGGTCATGTGTTGCAACAAAGTGGGCGAGCCACTGAACTAAACCATTTTTTTTTATTTTACCAGGTGAGGCCCACTGAGCTAAATCGCTCTTTTTCAGACGCGACCTGGCCACAAATGCCAGCCCGACGAAGTGGCTTGACATGTGGACATTGATAGCAGCCAAATACTCTACAACAGGTTCACAATGGTGGTGGAGCGATGAGTATAGCCCATGCACAGGAGCGTGGTGATCCGTAGTGTGAGGAGTCCTTCGTTCAGCAGTGCATAGATAATGACTAACGGTGGTTAAGGATAACCCAGTTGACAAGATAGACAGCTGCTATCAATAGACAGACACACATCTGTGGAATATCCTATGGTGTATATTGCAGAAAAGGTGACATTTCAGTTCAAACCCAGACTTTGGTGAAAGGTTTAAAAGATTTGCAAACAAGATAGAGACGTCACGGGACTTCCTTTGCCAGTACCAAAATATGAGAATAGGTTTTCCCCTTTTTTCTGGCAAAGAACAGGTGTTAAGATGTTAAAACACCAAACTGAAACCTTTTCACAAGGAATCATGTCTGTATTAACCACAATACTTGTGGTCAGAATGCAAACAAAAACACATACTCTAATTATATATGCATTGTCTTCGAAACTGATTTGTCCACACTAGAGACAGATTTCTTTTGAGCCTAGCCTCAAAACGGTGTTAGACCAGAAGATGTCTTTTGGTCTTTTGGCTTCCTCTGGTCTAACACCGTTTTGAGTTTAGGCTCAGAGCAATGGACTTCTTTCCAAACGGAAAGAAAACGTTGCCTCTCAATTCGTGCCAGTAATTAATGTGACCGAGCCGGTAACATTCAATGAGATAGTTTGAAGTTAAACAATTTAGGAATAATCGTGGATGCGCATGGACTATCTAAAGCTTTCCGACGTGTGTTATATCTTCAGAAGTATTTAATTTGCAATAAGACAGCTGACGGCAATCGGTCCCGTGCAAAAACTTGTTTGCATATTTGGTACTGGATCAAATGGGGCCAGTTTCTGTTCGGGAAAATTCATGGATAGCAACACAACTTTGTACTAAATGTTTATCACATTGGATAATCTTTATAGGTGCTGTCGTGCCACCCTATGTAAGGCCAAATGGACAGCTAAAGCAGAACATTTTTCAACCTCCTTGTTGGAGAGCATTCATAAAAAAATTTAAGGTTTTTAAATATTAAACAAAAACAAGAGATAGTTTTCGAACACAGCAGAAGTACAGCACAAATGGAAATTGCTAGCCTTGGACTTCAATTATTTCAGCCAGGCATCTTATAGCTGGGCAACAATGCAGTCTTAATCAAGGCCCAATTCCTGAGTTCCTCCTCTGCACACAGGCACTGGTGATAGAGACATCATTGGCTAATCACGTTGATAGTGTATAATTAATTATTGCTCCACCCCGATATTAGTCTGGCACGCGGTGAGTGAATTTCCCAGAGACAATCACAGAGGTCACCATCAGAGGCAATTCCGTCCGCAACTGAAATCTCAGGCTGATAATTTCCACTTTTGTTGCGGCTGTAAACTTGTTAAAGACGTGTGTGTGTGTGCGCGTGTCCACACCTGAGCAAGGGTTTTCAGTCTATTGGCTCAACATAAGTAACTTTTTGCACTTTTGGCTCACCAAATTGGACAACGTTGTGCAATTATTTCTCAGCATATGCTAGGAATATCAAACTGCAATCTCGTGAACATTTGGAACAACCAGGAAATTGTTTTACCACTGCTGCCCTTAAATGCAGTGACCGTTGTGTAGAATACAACTTGAGCTTCCAACAAAGAAAATGAGTCAGTGACGGCCCTATCTTCCGGGTCAGAATGACCTCACCTGCATCGACAGCCCCGGGTCAGTGATGGAAACTCCACATTTCTATGGCCAGAGCCATAAGTTCAAGCCCAGTTGGCTTGATAACAGCGGTACGTATTTTCTTAACCCTGCATTGATTACGATGAATGGTTGAGTCGACCTCCCAGGCCGGGATTCGAGCTCACATCCTACCCGCTTGCGAGTCGAGCGCTCCAACAGCTGCAGCGGCACCCGGCCGCGTTTCGACACCAGCAGCTGCAATGGCCTCCTAAACACGGTCATCTTTTCTTTGGCCGTTCCCTCGCGACGTCACCCAAAGCGAAATTTGGGCCAGTACCTCGGTGCGCTCTCCGCGGCCTTCCTTTGCACCTCGACGGCCGGCGGCGCCGGACGGGCCGCCGTCTGCTTGGGCACGGCCACCGATGCCGGCGCCTTCTTGCCCACGAAGCGAAACGTCTTATCGCCGGCGACGGCAGCGGCGTCGGAGGCACGGGCGGGATCGTCCGTCGCGCCGCTGAAGAGCGGCAAGAAGTGCGTCGAGACGTGGTTGGGTCCCAGACGGGGGCTGTTGCCTCGCCGCAGGAGGCCGCGCTTGTTCAGGGCCAGGTACCAGGCGCTGGCGGGCGGCGCTGGTGCGATGGGGTGGGCGGCCGAGGAATATGTGTTGTAGCTGTTCTCCTGGTAGGTCTCGCGGAACCTGCACTCGTTGTTGAACTTTGCCTTGGTCGCACGGAGGGGGCATGGACAACGATTAGCGGCGAGCCGGGTAGGAGGAGCGGCAGCAGCGGCAGTGGCAGCGGCAGCGGTGTCAGTGCAGCGACAGCAAAAGTAGCAGCAGTCGTGGTATCAGCAGCAGCAGGAGTACCAATGGCACCAGCAGCAGCATAATCAGAAGCGGCAATAGTATCAATCGCAGTGTAATCAGCAGGAGTTACGGATGTATTAGTAGCAGCAACAACAGATGGAGAATACGTATTTACATCAGCAGAAGCAACACTATGAATTTAAAATCATCAGAGCGGTGACTCAAATAAATCGTGTGGCATTGTTGTAGGCACAGAGCAATTGAATCACGACAGAGTTTGATGTTCAAAATTACACACATGTTGTGGCTTTTACAGCTACAAGACGAGTCAACTTTCCAAATATTTCATGGGTCCAGGCCAGATTTAAATAAACAAATAAATGCCGTTATTAACTCGGGAAAGCTTCACCGAGTCTTGCGGCAGATTAACATATAAATTGTATACTTTTCATACATTGTAATAATAGATTCTTGGGTGCACCATTCGATATGGCTGCAATCATAATCGGAAGAAAGTTGGGACTGATAAATCAACGAATCGTTACATGGCATCTATCGTTATATATATCAAAAAACAATGATACCACGAACTTTTTTTGCAAAAGGTATGTATTTGGTGTTCGAACATCTTAAAACCTGTTGTATTGCCAGAAAGTGAGAAACCTATTCTTATTTTTTTATACTTTGATACTGGTCAAAAGTATCCCTTGATACAGCTGCTCAGCCCGAGCTATAAATTATTCTTGTTACTTGCATTGTTTTTGTGCTGTTCGCCTTTTGGCGTTCTCTGGTCTAACACTGGTAGTGAGACATGGCCATAAAAAAACGCCGTCTCTGGTGTAGGCCAATCAGTTTCAAGGACAATGCGTATATTATCAGAGTGTGTTTGTTTGCACGTTCAAGCCAAGTACGTGTGGTTAACGCGAACTTGATTCCTTGCAAAAGGTGTTTGAACAGCACTCACACTTTGTACGCATGCATGGTGAGCTTCTTTCACGGCGTGCTTAGGGCACAAAAGTGGCACCGTGATCACCACTTTTGTAGCGGTTAGCGCACTGCGCCACGAAACCCGCTGACCCGAGTTCGATTTCCGCTCACGGCCAACACCAGTGGCGATTTTTTTTAACCGGTTCCTGGCTCCTCCTAGGTCGACTCAGCCTCAAATGAGTACCTGGGGCAGTGTGTAAACATCGCCACTGGGAAGACAAAGGCGGCCGGACGTGTTGGCCACACACCCCCTCGTGTGCCTTTCCGGCCTTCATAAGTGCTCGCTAACAGCACTTGCAGCAAATCTGTTAAGGCTATATGGGGGGGTCTTTGTCCTTGCCACGGAAAGCACGCTGTGCTACGAACCCGGTGACCCAAGTTCGATCCCCGTTCACGGCCAACGCCAGTGACGATTATCTGAACCGATCCCAGGTCTCCCCTAGGTCGACTCAGCCTAAAATTTGTACATGGTGTGGTATGTAAGCCACTGGGGAGACAAAGGCGGCCGGGTGTGGTATTTTCCACCCACCCACTCGTGTGGCGTGCCGGCCTTCAAAGGTGCTGCTCGCTAACAGCACTTGCCGCAGCAGTCTGTTCAGGCTATACGGGGGATCTTTGTCTTTGTTTGTGCGTGCGTGCGTGCGGACGAGATCTTACAGAGGCATAGATTTTCCCCTTGTAGTTCATGGCCAGGAATCGATTGCTGTAGGTTCCCCTGATGACCACGATGCCCGGCGAGAGGGCGAATATCTCCAACATACCTGCAAACCGACGTCACACATCGCCAGCGGGTTTATCTCTCACTCGGCGGTGGCTGGGGGTTAGGGCCCTCGAGTGAAACAAACAACAATGACCGTATTTGCCCGCATATAGCCCGCATACGCATATAACCCGCAGACACATATACCCCACAAAAATAGCGTTTTGTGTAAACAAAACGATACCCCGCAGGGTCTTGTTTTGTTTGTAAAGAGTGGTATACCCCGCGGGTTATATACGGGAAAATACGGTAATTGTCTCTATGTGCCTTTTTGCCAGTATCAAAAGGATAAATAAATTATGAATGTGAAAATGATCAATAATAGGAATAGGCTTTACCATTTCTGGCATGGATATATAACCGCTCAACGCGAACTATTAATACTTTCATACTTGCATTGCCTTTGTGCTGTTCCCCTTTTGGCGTTCTCTGATCTAACACTGGTGGTGAGACTACGCCGTTAAGAAGGCCGTCTCTGGTGTCGGCCAATCAGTTTCAAAGACAATGCCATATATTATGAGAGCAGGTTTGTTTGCACGTTTTCCCCCACGAGTATGTGTGGTTACTGCAGACTTGACCCCTTGCAAGGAGTGTCTATTTCGTGTTTGAAACATCTAAACACACGTTTTGTTGTGCCAGAAAGGGTAACGTCAATTCTTATTCCTTCATCACTTAATTGTCAACTGCTCATTGTAATAATAATTATGAAGTGCATGCACCTTGCTCCGCCCCCCCCCCTTGCCCACACCCCTGCCCCTCCTTCCTGCTCCTCTCCCCCCCGTACCCCCATCGATACAGGGTGGCCCAAAAGTCAGGACACATTGGGTCATAATATTTATTTTAACAAATGACGTAGAGTTATTTCATTGATGTTAACAGATGTTCAAACTGACCTCCATTAACATTAATGTGTGCGTGAATTATATTTTGAAAGAAAATTCTGACTTTTTTGTGGTCTCAAAACCGCTTTTAGTGTCTATTTTGTCGTCCTTCCCCCACACCTCCGATCAGCGCGAAAGAAGTTCAACATACATACACACATTCAGGGTTCTTGGTCGAGTTTTTTTTTAAATAACGGATTCCAGGCGACCCCCACAGGAAGAAGAAAAATATATATTAATAATGATAACCGCTTAAAGCATGAACATTGTTTTAATGCCGGTGTTAAAATAAATTAAATAACCTTATGCGTCCTGACACCAGCCGCCACTGCACTTAAGTCGGGTCCACAGCTGAGCGATCAGCTGAGCAACCAATTCGCTGTCAAAGTCATCGCGCAACTGGTTGCAGCAACGTCCGCGTGCCAACTTGGGGTTGGCATGCAACCCGCAAGTCGAAAGCAACTGATCGCGGCAGTTGCGAAAACACCGCCTTTACTTTTTGCAGCACATTGTTACGCACACCGTGTGTTCGGCCGAGCAAAGAAATTGGAGGGCGTTGAACATGCTTAACACAATTACTTTAACACTATGCAACGCATCCTATATGTGAAGGTACAGCCCTGTTGTCAATCCACTGCTGGATGAGCGTCTGCCCACGCCTCTGCGCTGGTCACGGAGGTTTATTTGGCCGCATGGCCACCTTGGCAGTGCGGTTCGGTAAAGGTGGTGGGGTGTGGCAGCAAACGGATTTTACTGCCATCTCTGTTACCCACAACATAGCCCCAAGTGCCCGATGACAACCTGTTTGTGCATGGTGGTCGCACAATCAAGGACTATCCAGGCTCAAACCCTGCCTATCTCCCAACATGTGACGAAATTTTGCATATTCCGGTTTATTTGATCATCGGCAATTTTTTTAAAATCAGAATTTATATCTTGAAAATGTCCATAGGACCTGAAATTGTCACTATTTTGTAGCAGGCACACTTTTTTAGTTAAGTGTGTAACTCAAAATAATAATTATCGTCGTTGTGGAGAATATAAATAACACGATTGATAAGCAGACAATGTTTCCGTCATATATCTGTCTCTCCACATTAAATATATATGAACCGTGTTTTTTACACATCTCATCGGTACCCCGCGGTTTTCTGGGGGTACGTAATTCCATCTGCATGATCAACACAAGCCAACTCTGGCACGACTTCGATACGTTGCACGATCGGCACCAGTGGTGTGGCGGTCGAGTGTGCAGGCGGTGCAGCTGCACCGAAGGGCCCGTGGCCCGGGTTACCTTTGACCAAATTACGTATACTCTTTGATTCTTTCGGTAAAGTCACGTAGGTATAAAATAAAATAAACCACGACGTTTCGGGCGCAACACAAGCGTCCCTTTCCCACCTGATGACAGACGCTTGTGTTGCGCCCGAAACGTCGTGATTTATTTTATTTTATACCTACCACGTGACTTTACCGAAAGGACCAAAGAGTATGGATTCCTGCAGTCACGAAAGCTTCAAATCAAGATCAAATTACGTATGTACTGCATTCTGAACTTCTTTCACAGCGTACGTAGCCAACCGTGCTAACCGGAGGTGTAGTCACAGGGCAGGCTCGTGGCTTTTGTTTAGCCAAATCAATGTTTAGGGGACCTTTTTTGACAGTATCAAAGCATGAAAAATAAGATGTACCTTGCAAAATGTAATTTTTTGGTGTTTGAATATCTTAACACCGATATTATTGCCATTAAGGGTAAAACCTATTCTTATTTTTCATACAAATCAATGTCGCTGTCTCTCTGAGTTGAATCAGAATCTGTATTTATACTGCAGGAGTCCGATAAGCTATGAAGCTCTTTTTTTCAGATGTCCAGAGTTAAAGTGAGCGTGTGGCTTTATTTCCGTGTCCGTCTGCGCAGTTTTAAAAGCGCGCGTTCCGTTTTGTCAACGACCACGCTTCAAGTCCATACATCATAGCTGACAAATATATTTACTTAAATCAATTTAACTATACAGTATACACATATTGTACGTATTTGTTTTCTCTGCTAATATGCAGCCTTCGCTTGCCTCTCACAGCCCGAAAGACTCTTTAGAAACACTGTAATTTGCACACGTGTTTTAGTTAGTAGGTGTATTTATATAATGTGTGCACGTGTATTAGCAATTCATCATTAGTTGTTTACCATTGTCAATCCACTGCTGGACGAAGGCCTTCCCACACCACGTTGGTCACGGCAATTGTTTGACCATACTTCACCATATGCTTGTGAGTTTGGGTTGGTGAAGTGGTGGGCAAGGGCGGAGATCTCCGGATTGGTTAAGTTATCACTCGCCACTGATGTTAGCTATGGCCAGTGCCGGAATATCCTCGTAGCACAAGCAGCTACATATGCTATGGGCCCCGCACTTTCAAGCTATCAATTCCGGTTCAGTGGTTCTGCACTTGCTCTATTACTATAGTACTATACTGTCTTCAACTTTTATGAACGACTGGGTGTTTAAGGTTAGCGATTTGTCGTATGATCTGGCTGTATAGCAAATGAAAAAATACAATTACTTTACTATACAAGTTAAAAAACATGATTTTAATATTTACGTGTTTTTTAAATTTAGGGCCCCTTTATAACTTATGCTACAGGCCCCTCACTAGCTTAATCCGGCACTGATCATGGCCATGCATACAACCCATCTTGTCAGGATCATAGCGCGGTGTGTAGTTGATAAGCAACGAGAGCCGACATTCGCCACGAAGTGGCGGTGGCATCCTCACGGCACCTGTGTCAGGCCAAGTGCACCTTGAGGCCACGTGAAAGTGTCAAAGCCTCGCTGGCAGGAGGTCACGGGACAGACCCAGCAGGTGCCATGAGGTGACTTGACCGAGATGACTGGCAGATGCATTGGCTGTGCCCCCTACTGTGCCAACTTGCTGGTGATCTGCTCGTTATTGTGAACGTCGCTCCTCCGCCCGCCGTTGTCGGAAGGCGACTGCCTCCAACTGCCCAGCCGCGTCCTTCACGAACTTCCTGCATAGGGGTGGCTGGTAACCCCTCCACCTGGCACTTTTTAGACCAAGCACCATGGTGGAAACACCGAAGTAAGTTGATAAACACACGCACGTACGCACGCGTGGCAGAATGAAGATCTCGTCACACGAGTCTCATCCCCCCAACCCCACACACGAGAGGCGTCGTTGGTCTTCAAGCCGCACTGACCGGCGTGGCGAAGCACGGCCAAATATCCCCCACGAGTCGCACGGCGTGCAGAGGCCCTCATCCCGCAACGGACCTGACGGAAGGGCTGCATGTACGTGCACAGCAACGCATTGCCATAGCGCATTCGCCTCGATAGTACTAGGTGTGTTTAAGGCGACACGAACACGCGTTAGCAGGTGGACAACCCTGCAAGTCTCCAAAACCCAGAATTCCCACGAAACCTCTCCCGAAAGGGCCCTCTCGCCGTGGCTCCTGATCGTCTCGCGTATTCGTACTCAAGGAGGGAATAGAAATTCGACGGAATGCACGTGACGTCAAGAGCGCGGCGGCTCTCGCGGTATCGTGAAGGGGGTTAAGCCCGTGTTACGGCACGGGACTTAGGCAGAAACGTCGCGAGGGGGGTGTGATGTGACGGGGGGGGGGGGAGGCTTACGCTTCGCGCCTCTTATCGCGTTAGCGCAAAACGCTTTTAAGATAATTCCCATTCGCCTCCGAGCATCGTTCTGCTCACGCCGCGGCTCTGCCCGACGCCGTTTATATCCTTGCGTCCGTCAAATATGCTCAGGAGCTGGACAGCAAGCCATGTCGAGGTCTGCCAGCCGCGGCGAGAGGGCTTCGGGAGACAGCGTTCGCGTGGTCATTCCTCGTCCTCCTCCCTTGATTGAGCGCAGACCGCAGAGGATGGCTGTACGGTCCGGAGCTTGGGTTGCATGGCCACAATCGCACTTGTGTGGCTTGTCTTGAATTTTTCCATGCATGAAGGACGGTGTAACACCATTGTGTTTTACGCCAGTGTTACACACCAGTGTTACACCAATATTACACCGGTGTTTTACACCAGTGTTACGCCAGTGTTACACCAATATTACACCGGTGTTTTTACACCGGTGTTACGCCAGTGTTACA